AACAAAGCAAAACCCTGTCACCCACCAATAAAAAAAATAAAATTAAATTAAATTTAAAAAAAGAAAGAAAGAAAAAGAAAAGAAACGGAAACTGGCCAGAGAAATCAACAACTGCACAGAATACCACATGAAGGACCAAACAGGCCCTTTGTCCCCCACCAACATGTGTAAAGCTTGTGTTACACACTGGACTCACATCAGCATTGCATGCCTATTTTATAATGACACTGCAGCCCTCAATAGGCTAAGCATCCTGATGCCCCAGGCACCCGATCCAGCCTGATCAGGGTCCAGTGCCCTTCCTACTGCATCAGTAGGTCTCCATGTGCCTGGGGACCTTAAGCCTGGGATCAAGACCCAGATTGCTGGCTTAATGGGAGGCTTGGTCTGGGATACCAAACACATAGATGTTGGGATGGGAAGGAAACCCGGAAATGCTATTTTTTCCTCCTTAAATTATATAGAAGGAAATGGAGGCCCAAATGGGAATCTGACCTCGAGAGACTTGGAGTCAAGGCAGATGAAAAGGGGCAATAGGACTGAATAATTAGCACGAGCCACCAAGCTGGCACCGAGAAAAGAAGCTACTCCCTCCTATTTGGAGTTGGTCTCAGGTGCTGCCTTCGTGGGGCTGCTCCTGGGTGACTAACGATGACCACTGTGCTTGAAAGGCAGGTCACAGCGAATCATGGCATCCCCAGGGTTAATGCAGACCTCAGAGGTGGCTTGAGTCAACCACCCATCTGAGACTTAACTACTTTTCATGTCATTGCCCAATGCTGGCTGTCTTGTCTCTGCTTGGATACCTCTAGGGATGGACAGCTGCACATTCAATCAGTGGGTCAAAAAAAAACTCAAAAGGATTATGACTTTTTCAAGCCTCAGATTTACTCGGGCCCATGCAGCAGGAAAAAGGAACGCTTGGACTGGATTGCTAACTTTCCAATTAGGTTCCACAGAGCGGCAGGGTTTAAGGAGCTATCTCTGGATATGGTGCTGAGGCAAGAGGGCAATAGGTTGGAAACTGAGGCCCAGGTAACCTGTAGGCATTTGGGCTCTGAGGTCTGTGAAGAGCTGAGCATCCGTCTTGGGGGCCAGAATATAATTCCTGCAGGTGACACTAAGTAGAGTCTATGGAAAGGGTAAGCTGACACAGGCAGAGTTCAAGGGAGTAAGAGGAGTTTCTGGGGGAAACAGGCACACTTCCCATGCCCTCCATCCCAGTGATGGCCTGCAGAGTGAGGCCTAGTGTTCCCTGTTCACAAAAGTTCCCTACCACCTGCTACCTGGACCCAAGTGAGAGGACAAAACCGTATTAGATCATCACTGCCCAAGTTGGCTATACTGGGGAATGTGAAAGCAGCAGTGTGCCAAGGCCCTGAAGAGAAGGCCCTGCGTGATGTTAAAACAGGGCCTGAGCCGGGCTTGGTGGCTCAGCCTGTAATCCCGCGCCTTTGGGAGGCTGAGGTGAGTGGATTGCCTGAGCCCGCGGGTTTGAGACCCGCCTGGGCAGCCAGACCTCATCTCTACAATAAATCAAAAAGTCAGCCGGGCGTGGTAGTGCATGCCTGTAATTCCGGCTACTCGGAAGGCTGAGGAGGAAGAATCGCCGGAGCCCAGCAGGTTGAGGCTGCGGTGGCCAGAAGCAGCCCCTGCACTCCAGTCTGGGTGACAGAGTGAGACTCCAACTCAAAACAAAACAAAACAAAACAAAAAAACAGGGCCTGAGAGGTCAGTCCCACAGCTTCCTATCTGCTGGGTTGCCTTGGGCTAGGTACTTAACCTCTCTGTGCCTCAGTTTCTCAACTGGTAAAATGGGCCACCTATACGCCAAAGGATAACTGTGAAGATTCAGGAAGAATTAACATCAGGTGCTGTAAACAAGAACTAGAGAACTCCAGTCACCTCCATTGTTGTTATTAACATCGCTGACCTATCACTCCAAACATAGGTAAACACAGAACACAAAACATGCTGTCCAAGGCCAAACAGCCAGCTGAGGCTACTGTTTCACAGGTGGAAACTGAGCACCGCCCCCAGTCACTCAGGTGGCAAGTGGCCATCCCAGATCTGCTAGGCTCTAGCCTGGGCTCCTTCAGCACAAACATGCCATCTTAGGTACAGAGAAGGCACAGCTTTCTTGTCAGCATTATGCTTAAGTACCAAAGACGCTGCCTCATAACTGGAAGTTACATGCACAAATACACATAAAATGTAGCATCATCCAAAAAAAAGGTCACTGTGAAAGGTCAAACTTAACTTTTTCCATGCTGCCCCCACCCCGCTGCTGTCACCAGCACCGTCCTCTCTTCCCCCCACCTTCTCTCCCCTGCAAAGAGTTTCACAGGGACTCAGAGAGCTGCTTGGGGCACTTACGTTCTGATGGCTCACCCCAGCCCATGTTCAGCTCTGCCATCAATCACTGTGATGATGCCATACACAAAGCATTTCGAGTCAAAAGGAGCTGCAGCAAGATCATTACAACCAGAAAACACCCCTTTTAGTCACCTACATTCTTGAAAACAAAAAAATATGGATAAACTTCAACATGGCCTCCAAGCTAAAAGAAAACACAGGGCAGCAAACACTAGAATGCTTCTTTGGAAAGAGAATGCATGAGGTCTTAATGGGCTCCTGGTTAAATCACACTGCCCCGCCTTGGGCCTGGCCTGTGGGGTGTGCCTTCAGTAACAAGCCAAAGTCCCTCAGGTCAGTTCTACCCAGTTCCACAGCTGCTCAACTTTGAGGTCTACAGCGTCACCCAGTCGGAACTCTAGCTCCTTTCTGAAGGTATCAGGCAGAGGCAGACCCTCCAGAAAGTCCAGGTTCCCAGCAGATGCCCCTTCCCTGCTCCCTTCTGCTCAAGTCTGGACCCCTGCAATGACATCCTGTCTATGGCTCGGTGGGACCTCCAGCTCCTGTCCCCATAATACTCTGTACTCCGACAGAGCTACTCACTGCTACTTGTGTGACTCAGGAAAGAAGCTTAGCCCCTCAGTTTTCCTCACCTGTAAAACATGACATCTTGAAAGGGACATCATGAGGCTTAATGAGTGAGCATGGCAAAGTGCCCAGCATGGAACCTGGTCCCTGGCAGGGGTTCCCAGCTGGGGTCGCTTCTGCCATTTTCTCATATGCTGCCCCAGCATCAACACAAACTCTACACTTCCTCTGTACCCCATCCCAAAGTCCTCCCTGAGGACACAGGCTACACTTTGCACTCTGCCACCAACTCACTGTGTATACTTGGGCAAGTCTCTCCCTCCCTAGCCTCAGTTTCCCTATCTGTAAAATGAGGCTGTTCGGTTTAGATGACCTCCAAGATCCCTCACTACCCTGACATTCTGAATATGTCCCAAAGTCACTCCTGTAAGTCTGAGCCAACACCTGCCGAATGCAAGATTGGTCAAGCTGCAGGGGGTACAGGCCACAGTGCCCACTGCAGCCTGAGGACTGGAGCTGGCCCAGGGCTCCTGCAAAGTGGATGTCTCGTCAAGTCCTGTGGGGGTGATTGGAAGTGGCGGCTGGGGTTACTGCTGGGCCTGGACATACACATCCGTGGTGACACCTCACCCAGCCAACCTGCTTCCCTGAGTCACTGGAGGACAGCAGGCTAAGCCTCCCTTGGGACCCCAACCCCAAACACACGCTCAGCTCCCTGCCTCTTGCTGCCCACTGAGGCTGCTTTGTCAGGAAAGATTAAAAAGATGGCAGTGAGTGTGAGGGGTGATCCCCTTCCCCCGAAGTCTGGAAGTCTGGCCCAAGTCCCTCTGCTCAACTACTCCCTGTCTCACCCTTCATAAAGTGGTCAAGCATTCTGGGGGCCACACTGGTGGTCAGAAAATCGCTTTCCATGAGGCAGTAAGTAGCAGAGGCAGAGTCTGGACCCGCACCCAGCTTCTTCAACAGTGGACCTGCATGGTCTTCATAGCTTTATAAGCAGACACTTGACATAGGCCCAGTTGTACACTAAATACTCAGTAAATGCCTTTTCCTTTCCCTTCCTTCTCCTAATTCAAGGGCAATTAGGAGAACGTGCTCAAAGACACGAACATCAAATAAGCAAATAATAAAAGGGCCACGGAAACAGGCATCTGTATCCTCAGTTCCCAGATATACACGACACTAATCCAACAGGCCTCAAAACTGGGGGTGGCTCCACCCTTGTGCACCCTATAGCACGATAGGCCCCTGATCATGTTCCTGCCTTTGTGGGGTGAGAGGGGCCAGCCAGCACAGCTGCTCTGTCTTTGAACCACTCTCTCTAGTCGAGCGAACCCACTCAGAGGGTTTCTCTTCTGCTTGTGACCTTCCTATCACCCTGCCCATGTCTGTCCAAGATAGCAGATGTCTGATAACCATTCACACCTTAAAGATGCTCCAAGCATTATTGTCCCGGGTAAAACAGGCTCCCAGGATGCTGCACACCTGACCACATTCTTCTTGGCCCTGCACAATTGCTTTGACAAGTTTTGTCATCAAGGGCCAACAGGAAAACAGCCATGGAGGAAAGTCTCCATGTTTTTTGTAAACCTGCCATATAGACCAAGGATCCTTTATGCTGCTTTCAGCCCCAAAACAAAGATTTCTGGGTACATGACCAGGAACAATTTTGTCCTGACTAATAATCTGGTCTACCCTTTCCACTAGGCCTTAAAGCAAGGTGATCCAGGCTGTTTCTCTTTTTGCCCTGGCAGCTAGGATGCTCCAAGTGATGTTTTATGTCTCAAATGCCGTATCTTTCTTCAGTCAGAAATTTCTGATAAAACCCCCTTCCACCTTTTACTTCCTCTGTGTTTGGCTGTCTGTGTTACTCTTGTACCTAGACTGATACTGGTGAAACATGACTTGGTAAACTGGGGGAAAATTTAATACAGCATTGCCCCCCAGCCACCACTGTGATGCACAAACCACCCTCCCACTGAGGTTGACTGGGGACTGCCTGGAGTGTCCTTGCTCCCTCTCTACCTCTGCTGAGTCACCAGCTGCAACCTGCTTACCTGTCATGATCCTCTGGGCCTCGTAGGGCTCCATGTAGCCAGCACTCTCCCCCTTTCCCACTTTGCTCTTGAGATCATTCTTGGCATCAAAAGGATCCGAGTAATCATCAGCGATGGTCACCTGCAGGGAGGAAGATGGCGGATGTGAGCCACCTTTGGCTTTTCTGTTTCACTTCCCTTCACAGCCAGTTTTCAGAGAGGCAGGGGGAGGGCAGGAACCAGAGCTGGGGCTTGGACCCAGGAAGCGCCACGTCTCCTAAGAGGAATCAATAGGACCCAGGTTGGCAGGGCTTCGCTGCGAGGGAGGGCCCTCTCAGTTGTGCACGTGGCCTGGCCCACTGCAGGCATGGTGTGGTGAGAATAAAGGGCGTCTGGGTAGAGGTAACAACACCCATGGGGCACAGAGGCAAGAACCTGGAGGGTGTCTTCAGGGAATACGAGTTGTTTAGCTCAATGGAATGAAGGTGGAGGAAAAGTTGGAAATGAGTTCGCAGAAAGCCCAGAAATGCTGACGTGCCCTCAAGCTGGCTGAGGCACCAATGAGTTTGTCCAGAGACAATTAGCTTGGCGTTCCATTTCCCCAAACCTGGAACACCACCATGCTGTGGGTAATCAGACAACAATCTGGTGAGATCAACGCACTATAAAGATCACTGTGGTCCCAGACGGGCCAAATGTTAACAGAAAACACAAAAGCAGCTCAGAGATGAACACACAGATTAGAAGACCCTTCTGTAACACAGCAGAAAACTAAAGTGGGGAGGTGGGGCAAGGGCTTGACTGGATCCTCCTCCCAGGGCCCTCTCTGGTCTCCTCACTTGTCTATATTCCAGAACTCAGTCCTGGGTTTCTCCCCAGAGAAAAGTTCTACAAGGAACAAAGAGTGAGTCACCTGGGGGCGGGAGACTCCCATGAGACTGTGAGTATCAGGGACTCTAATACTTCAGAGACAAAGTTGCACGTTTTCCCTGGAGAAGGATAAATATTCTTGGTTAGAGGCTACAAGTACACAAGCCAAATGTACCCTCCAGTTCTTACTTACTAACCTTTATGAGGGGACAGAACCCACCAAACCTGCACTCCTATCTACCATGTACCCTAGCTTCACCACAAGCCTGCCCTGGGACTCCCCTCCTGTCCTCTTTGGTCACACATCTGGCAAAGGCCAAGTCTTCAGCATCCCAGCCAGGGCCACCCAGCTGCCTCTCTTGGGAGGGGGCAGGTTGGTGTTTCTCAACCCTTGGGGTTACATGAATTGTTATTTAAATTGTGGATTTAATTAGAAACCACAGGAGCCCCCTCTCTCTCCCAGTTCCTGGAATGTAAGGCATTTGAGGGGCCTGCAAACCCAGGGGAAGGGAAAATCCCTCTTTGTCTGCCTGGTAAATGGCAGCTTGTGGCAGTCGCCCTGGCAGAATGAGAGAGTGACCGCCAGCTGCCCGGAATGTGATGCCCGGGGAGGGGCAGCAGGCGACAGCTCGGTCCCTGGCGCGTGGCTGGGGGCCAAAGGGAGGTATAGCATGCAGCGGTCATGCTCCCCAATGAGAGAGGCTTATCAGTAAAGCCCCCAAGCCCAGAGCACCCAGCACCGAGGCATCTGCGGTCCATGCAGCCCCTACTCTGCTGCTTCCTCCGCGGCCTTGGGTCAGGCTCTCAGTCCCAGTGGGGTCTGCTTCCAGATGCTGACATTGTAATGGCAGCCTTTCTGGAGACTCACTGAGCTCAAATGACACCAGGCCGAGGAAAGAAGGGGGTGAGAGAGAGCTAGGCCTTGCAATGTCTTTCATTTGATATTTCTACTCTACCATTTGCAGAACACATTAGAGAGAAAATTATAGACGGTGAACCACTGTCAAACAGAACGGTTCAGACGCTGGTCAGGTGCAGGGATTTTGTGTCTCAGAGTTCAAGGGGCCAGACATCCAAATGGAGAAAATGATGTAGTTGCTATGGATGACATCTAATCTCATTTCTCTCTTCCCAGACTTCCTTGCCGACTCTCCTCAACACAAACATCCTCAATCTATTCTGCAGTGAGAAAGGGAAAACTTATTTCCCCAAGAAAACAACATCATTTTTGGGGATTTGCTGAAGAGGGAGAGTGGGGCTGTAGTCTCCATAGTAATCTAGAAATGGGCATTCTAGCCCCTCTCGGAAGCGTTCTGCAGTTTGCAAACATTGAGACTTGCAGGATATAAACCAAATCTTTGTTCGCTCTGGGACGGGAGCTCTGGGAAACCTGTGATTCAGCAGGCGTTATCTATATTTTCTAATTAAAATGAGATCTGAGCTCAGGCTGTCACGGGGTGAGCTGCCTGCCCTGCTTACTTCCGTTTCAATAAGAATTTACAAATCCCCAAACCAGGAAAAGCTCCTGGTCTCTGCTGACATATGGTTCCAGTTATACCTGCTGACAGTTGAAAATATTTCTGTTAAAAAAAAAAGTTTAGAATTCTGTTAGTTTAAGAAGCAAATTGGATGGTTCCTAAAATATACATTTAATCAATTTGCTTTCATACTTCAAAGTGAGGTTGGTGGAGCAGGGCATGTGAGGCTTGAGCAACCTGAAGCTCAGCAAACACCACACTGAACTGTCTGACCTTACACAGACTCATGTCCTAGTTCTAGGAATCAAAATTTAACCAGGTGTTAGGGGACTTGAGCAGGCAGTCAACCAGAGCTCCATGTGAAATGCTAAAGGCAGCCAGGCTCAGTGGCTCAGCCTGTAATCCCGTGCCCTGGGAGGCCAAGGTGAGTGAATTGCCCGAGCCTGAGGGTTCGAGACCCACCTGGGCAACTTGGCAAGACCTCATCTCTACAATAAATCAAAAAACTTAACCGGGCATGGTAGCACACGCCTGTAGTTCCAGCTACTTGGAAGGCTGAGGTGGAAGGATCACTGGAGCCTGGCAGGTTGAGGGTGCGGTGGCCGGGAGCATGCCACTGCACTTCAGTCTGGGCAACAGAGTGAGACTCCAACTCAAAAAAAAAAAAAAAAAAAAAAAAATGCTAAAGGCCCCAGCCACCAGGACTGGGCAGTGTGACCACTGTCCAAGCTGCCAGGGGCTCACTGCAGGTCCAGATGGCCAGGCAGGAGGTTGGTGTGAAAGGTGCTGCTCTTTTGACTTAAAAGAAAGGGACTGAGTTTTCTCCAGATGTGGCTTGGATTCCTGCAGGATTGATTTTGGTTTTGTTTTAAAATGTCCCAGTTTCTAAGGCCATACTACCCTAACAGGCCCCCAATCTCGTCTAAAATGCCCTAGTTAGTGGACAAGTCCTACAAATCGAACTCAACAGTTCAACCAAAAGGGAGCCAGCCTGGATTTCTCTGCGGGCACAGGAGCAGCTTTCCTTTGATTCTGGTCTCAGGTTGGCAGAGACCTGGCAGCCACACGAGGCAGAGACCTGGCAGCCACACGAGGCAGAGCAGAGGTGGGAACCCTCCACTTCACTAAGGCGCTGGGTGGCAGCACAAAGAAAGGTTGAGGGTGTGCAGCTGCCTCATCAGTGGGCCACAACATCTTTCACTCTCTGCCTCCCAGGATGGGCGCTAAGCCCCAGATAGCGACCTTTCTTGCTTGCAAACAAAACTACAGACCCTAGGTCTGCCCAAATTCCCTCAAGGACTTCTGGAGGCTCATAAAGCAGCAAAGCCTGTCGTCCTCCGGCCTCCTCTCACCTAGTCACAGTCACCTGGCAAGCCAGCAACAACCTCAGAGCGGGCTGCCTTTCTGGATGCAAAGGCTGCTGGGTGGGGCTCAATCCCTTCCAGCAGTCTGAGGTCCTGGTGCTTTATCTTAGGGTCTTGCTTTGTGATAGGAAGCAGTCTGCAGCTGTTCATTCCCAAAGGGAAGTACTAGAGGAAGGTGGGTGTTGCCACTTGGCCACACTTTCACATACACCAGGGAGAGTTTTAGTTGCTTTTGTGAGACAGCTGCACTTGTTTGGAGAACTCTCTACACGCTCTCATGGAAATGTGTGAGGGGGATCCCATAAAACTAGAAATATCTTTTGGAGGGTGGGCCCCTTGTATACCAGCTAGTGTTGTTGTGAGAGGCTGCGTTTGGCTTCAGTGAATTTTTTGGTAGAGATTCTTTCAACGTGCTTGCCCATTTCATGATGGGTGGTTTACAAGTGCACCTGCCCACACTGTGCTGAGTGTTCAGGTTCTGACCAAAAACGGCATGACCCCTATGCCCCACCCTCCCTATTCAACTGATCTCCCCCTAAGTGACTTTTTTTTGGTTTCTGCCGATTAAAAAAATCCTCAAAGGGAAACATTTTGCCGATGTGAAAGAGGTAAAACAAAAAACGGCAGAAGCACTAAAAGGCATCAAAATGGATGAGTTCAGAAACCGTTTTGAGCAGTGGAAAAAGCACCTCAAGTGTATTTCATAAAACAGAGTACTTTCAAGGCGACTGAAGTTTAAACAGGTAGAAACGTACAACTTTTTATAAATTCTGGTTTTGAAGGGGGTCTCCCCTCATACACTGGCACAAGTACAGCCACTTTCAAGGGTAACTTTTGTCAGAATCTGTTAAAATCCCCAAATACACTTAGTTTGACCAGTCATTTTACCTGTTAGTATTTATTCCTGAATGCGCACTGAAGCGAGAACGAGACACCACAAACAACTGCTGTATCCACCAATGAGGGAACTGTTAAACAAACCATGCTATTTTCATACTATGTGATAGGAGGCAATAAATTTAAATGAAACACACACACACACACACACAGTTGCTAGGAGCTAGAACAGTTCTCTAAAACATAGCTCCGAATGTAAAGAAAGCCCGTTGTAGAATGATACCTACTCATTTTAAAGACACACAAAACCCCCAAAGAAACAGAAACTTGTATCTCTATTATTTAAAAGGAAAGGTCTTGGGAGATGTACACTCCAAACTGTCCCCTCTTCTGAGAGTCTTATGGGAAGAAAGGGGATTGGGGTAGTTAGGGAGAGTCAAGAGACTTAATTCTTGGTAATGGTAAAAGATTTTCAAACAAAGAGAACCTGGTTGTGTAGTAAATGCAAAACTTTTAAATCACTCCTCTTCTCCAGGCTATTTTTGGTACAGCAGACAAACTGTTTCCCAAACTTGCCCGAAGATAGGAACTGCCTGGAACTCTTGTTAAGAAAACAAATTCCTAGCCCCAATAATCTGTATATTTAACAAGCAACCCAGGTGATCCTTATCAAGGAGGTTTGGGGAAATAATAAGTGAGAGCAAGGCCCCTTTCCCACCAGTCTACAGGCAACCCTGTACTACCTTGGAATCTCATTTTTCTCAGAGATTTCTAGTCCTATTCTCTAAAGTGAAGCAAGACTTCTGTGTTAACTGCAGCTCTCTGGCTTTCTTCCCTGGGGGTCAGCTGAAGTAAGAGAGAACCTAACATGCTTCTGTCCATCTCCTGGACAGAATCTACTGGAACCCTCTGTGCAATCCTGTGGGCTGACTCCAGATTGAGCAACTGGGCTTGTATGGGGGAAAGGGCAACAGGGGTCCTGGCCCTGGGGTGTGCAAGGCTCTCTGTTTTAAATCACAGGCGCTTTCAGGCTATGGCTATGTTGCTCTCAGAAAACTTGCTCCAGGAAGATCATCCAGCTTTGGGAAAGGCTGGTGGCACTACCAAGAGGAGCCAACTGCAGAAATGCATGAGGCGTCCTTGCTGAAATCGTTCAAACCTGCTAAAAAACTAGAGATGAGAGAGGCAGAGCAACTGCTGTCTTCTAGGAGTGGGTGGCCCACACTGTGCCTACCACGCCATGGTCACCTCCACGTGTCCTGCTGTCCATGGGAACTGGCAGTTCAGCCATGAGCTGCACTGTTCTCTGCTCCCCAGAGGTGAGCGCCACATGAGGCACTGGATGTTTGCCAGGCCCATGATTTCCTTCTGCTCTACTCCAAAGCAAGCCACATGTGAACACACTTGTGAATGTTCTCAGTGGTCCCAGTCGGACCATTTTCCCATTGATTCACCATTACAACTACATGAATCTCCTTAACAGTCTTGGCGTCATGAATCTCTTCGGGAATCTGATAACTGATGAAGCTATGGCTTCCCCTCATCATATTTATATACACCCACGGAGTGGTGGTTACATCCAGGAAGGTCATAAACCCAAGGTTAAGACTGAGTCCCCCTGCCTAGAGGCACTGTAATGAACAGTGAAGACGAGACACACATACTCTGCCTAAGCAAGGCAGCAGGTGCCCAACCATGATGGGCTGACTCCATTGTAATTCAACACTCATTATTCACCTGGCTAAAATATGGTGTGGCGCGTGACACAGGACTGCCATGTGGCTGTGCAGAGGGTACTGCCGAGAGAATGATGGACGGGGCTCTTTGTCTTGACTTGCCCTGGCCCTCTCCCCCACTCTGGGGGTCAGGAGGGCTCTCCGAAGGTGAGCAAATAGCATTTTGGGGCATGAGTGGCAGCAGTAGCCGAAGTGCCTCTGTCCTCATCAGAGGGCTGGGCAGGCCTGAGTACCAGTCTTCCTTTGGGACCCACTGTGACACATGCCCTGGTAGGCCTGAAGTCCATAGGATGGAGGATCCGTTGCCATGCCAACAAAGAGATGACATCAAAGAAAAAGGGATTTGGGGGTCTGGAGAGGGCTTCAGATAACTAGGAGGCTGCTCGGAGAAGAGGCAGCAGACAGATGTTCTGCACAGACTCAGAAGCTGTACAGAGGCGAGCTAGATGATTCAGGAAGGACATCTGACAGCCAACAAAGGGACCTCCTGTCTGCAAAAGGGAGCTGCTTGGATTGTCCAAGCAGAGGCTCTAAAACGGGCTTGTGCCTTGGGTAGATGGTAGCTAACTGGATACCACTCTCACGGTTTTCTTAGTGCAGAGCCTAGACTCAACTTGGGCAAAGGGGTCTGAACTGACTCACGGCAGAACCCTAGTTTTAGGGACTGCCTAGGTGGGTGGCTATTTGCAGAAGACCCACTATGGCCGAGGCAGACAGCATTTCCAAAGCCCCAAGGCTGACCAGCGGCAGCTGGGCTGCAGCAGCTGCCTGGGGCTATGTAAATACATAGAAAGGCAGGTGGCACTGCAGAAAGGACACGGCCAAGCAGGGATAGTTCAGGCAAGTAGAGCTCTGAACTGGCTCTGCTGCACCCTTGTTGGGTATCTCGAGCAACCTGCTTTATCCTCTTGAGCTTCGGCAGTTCGCCTATGAACAGGGGCAGAGCAGTCTGCCTTCTCAGCTTCACATAAACGTTGTAAGAAGCAAATAACGAGACTATCTGAGGATGTGTCAGTCGTTTGTTAAAAAACAAAAAAGGCTCTGTCCTTGTTACAGAGCAGGTGGCACCTCCTGGGTGCCCAAGACGGAGGCAGGTGCTTGTGAGGGGCAAAAGCACCTTAAGACAGGATCTCTGCCCACAAGAAACTGGCAATCTAGTGGCGAAGACAAGACAAAGACATGGGAAGAAACCCCCCCACCAAGACCCCAGTGGTTACCAGGGGAAATGGCTGCAATTAAGCATGGCGACAGCTGTCATATTTCTCAACCACAAAGAGAAAAATGTTTGTGAACAATCCTTTTTCCCCCTTCCATGTTTTGGGTCAGAAGCACCCCCTAGTTGGGCATCCAGCCAAGTGGTTAACAAAGATCTTGGGACCCTCACAGCACCCCTGCCCATGTGTTGGGAGACATCAGTGTGCTGTCTGCAGTGTTCAGGGATCTGAGGGGTCCATAGAGCTGGTCAGTAACACCAAAAAAGGCTAAGGGCACACCCCCCACGGGCATGCAAGCACGCACCCCCTGCTCACCTCCCTCTCCTCAGTTTCGACCATCATAGACCAACTCTCCTTACAGGCACACCAATAAATCATTGCTGACATGGTAAGGAAATTAATTTGGGGAAGATTAATTAGCTACATTCACACGCTCAGCCATAACTGCCGGAAATCAGAGGGAGGGGAGAGTGCTTTTGCACCCTGATTTAGAAGTGGCTCCCTTTCTTCCTTCTAACGTAAAACTCAGCATGCAGAGTCACCTTGAGGTTCTTAGCCCTCTCTTGCCTGCACGAAGCCCCGCCAACGGCTCTGCCCACACACCTCCAGGGGCAGGGAGCTCAAGACTTGGAAACACAGTCTTCTGGGACAGTCATTACTACTGAGTGGTCTTTCGTGTGTTGAGCAGAAATCTGCCTCTCAGCAGCTGCCATTCACTTCTTTGCACAGATCTATGGTGTTCTATCCTAAATGCTCTTTTATAGACCTGCCACATGTCAGGAGGCCAGGGGGGTTTAAAGTGGTCACCACTGGTCTTTCCAGTCTTGCCCCTCCCATGGCCACAGCTGCTTGCCTAGACACCTGCAGGCTCCAACTTGTTAGGAAAAATGTATTCCAAATTACAGCCTCTGTCAGTTCCTCTCAGCCCTGCTTGCTCAGCCTCCCTCCCTCCCTCCCTCCCTCCTTCTCACACACACATGGCCCACTGTCTTTCAGTTTAACCCCCTTGGAGTAGGCTGTGGGTCCTGGATAGGAGCAGCTGGAACAGAGCCCGGCCCAGCCCTCTATTTACCCCAAAACCCTGCTGTCAAGTGGTAGGGACAGGCTTTTCAGCATCTTTCAAGCAGTGGGAGGTTCTATTTTGAACCCAGAAACATCTCAACCTAGAATTTCTTAGCTGCTTTCAGCTAGGGCCTATGGACAGAAGATTCAGTACATCCCTGCCGAGGACAGAAACACCCAAGAGGGGTCTACAGTCACTATTAGAAGGACCACTGGGAGATGGTCTATTTCACTGGGTCTCGAACTCGTGTGTGTGCGTGATTTGTGCAAAGGAAACCTCACATGGAACCCCAATGTGTACCACTGAAGAAAGTAGTGTGAAAACGAATCCATAGGTAACTAAGCCCATGTTTCCTAATTTTGGTCTATACTACTTCTGCAGTACCTATACAGTTACCTAATTTTTCTCTTAAAGTCGCCCTGAAATATTTCAGAGAATATCCACCACAACTACTCCCCAGGAAGAGTCCCTTAGCTCCTCATACAAAGATCACCACCCATTGCTGCAGACACCTCTGGGGAGGGGCAGGTTAAGCTGGGTCTCCGTGGGGCTACTAACTGAGCCTTCCATCATTCTCCTCTGAGTTCTAACGCAGCTCTGCTCAGCTCTCCTGTAAAACTCATCAACCTTGGCCTACCTTCCCAACAGTCCTTCCCCTCAGCCATTGAACTCAAGGGAATACAAGTACTCCTCTAGTAGGGCCACTGCCTAGAAAATGCCCTCAAACCAGCCCCGGTCACAAAGAGTAAGAAAATGAAAGATAAGAAAGACTATTTTTCTTTCTCCTGCAGGGCAGAGGGGCTAGAAGGGTAACGGGAATGTACTGGTCAAGAGCAGGGTCACAGGTACTGGATGGTTCCACAAGTCATTCAGCCCTCTGTCGTCAGCTTTCCCATTTATAAAATGAGGATGGGGTGAGGCCTACCTGAGCTAATGCACATGGTATACTCAGAGCTGGGCCAAACACAGCACGTGCCCAGTATCAGGTGTGATTACCATCACCCAACACAAGATCCAATCTACGGAGTCCCTCGTCTGACAGAGGAGGAAACCAAGGGTCTTGCCAAGGTCTCCAGACCCCATCCCATGATGAGGAGCCACTAAGTTTCCGAACAGACAGGTGACACAGCAGAACACTCATCAACAGGTGACAAAACTGGACTGCCACCAAATCCCAGCCTTGAGAAGCCCTAAGTCATTTGTTGACCTATGTATTTATAGCCTGCCTGCTTCCAAAACTGGTGTTAGACAGCTTAATTCGAGGCATTTTTCCATTCTTGATAGGCACGGCCTATCCGTCTGCTGTTCCCTTCCCAAGAGCGAATCAGGAATGCCCGTGAGGCTTTCTCACGGTAACATAAGGCTCTGTACAGTAAGAACAACTTGCAGTGTGCTCACAGGAAAAGTATGCAAAGCAAAACAGCAGAGCCCAGGAGCCAAAGGCCCTTCCTGTGCAATATGGTACCTTTCAAAGCCAGGCATCCGAACCCCAGCCAGGACCCGGGAGTAAGCAGAAGTCACCGGGTGCAGCTTCCTCCTCCAGAGTGTGTATTCTGTGCTCGGAGCAGAGATTAAAGTGGAGGAAGAGCTCAGGCCTGGACCAGCACACACAATCTGACCAGCACAGAGGCGCAGGAACCCAAGCTAAGTAAAGGGCCATTTCTCCCCAAATGAGGCCCATTAGGATGACTCATGCAAGTTTCCCACAGGGGAGCTGAAAGGCAGGCTGGGGCACCTTTAAGACACAGCAGCACTGAACAGCTGCTCTCCTCAAGAGTCACTTTCTTTTTACTGAGGACGGTCAGCACTGGCCACAATTACCAGCACAAAATTTGACAGCTCCCAATTACATTCAGCTTAATACTGGGTGCTCAGTAAATGTTGATTCACTTTTTAAGACAATGCTGGTCGGCCAGGCTCAGTGGCTCAGTCTTTAATCCCAGCACTTTGGGAGGCCGAGGCGAGTGGATTGCCTGAGCCCGTGGGTTCGAGACCACCCCGGGCAACTTGGTGAGACCTCATCTCTACAATAAGTCAAAAGTTAGCTGGGCATGGTAGTGCGCATCTGTAGTTCCAGCTATTTGGAAGGTTGAGGTGGAAGGATCGCCAGAGCCCAGCAGGTCGACATTGGGGTGGTTGTTAGTATGCCACTGCACTCCAGCCTGGGCGACAAGAGTGAAACTTCAACTCAAAAAAAAAAAACAAAACTGTCTTCTCATGTCCTCCAGTAACCAGGCCTGGATGATCTGGTTTTCTTTCTCACACACAATCATTTAGGCTAAGACACCATCCTTGAGCCCCCCAGTGCTGTGCCTCACATGTACTCTGTACTTTCTAATGTGCAGG